AAGTCTACTTTATCTGAGGTTAATACACTTCTGCTTTCTTTGAATAATTTTTGCATGATATATATTTTTCCATTATTCTATTTTCAATCTTCCTGTATCACCTGTATCATTATATTTGCAGCAAGTTTCTTGTAGGCAATATATATGTGGATTAGGTTTTTTAATCCACTCTAACAATCTCTTTTAATTGTTGTATTTAGATCATTGACATTTAATGTGATTTTTGATATGTTAGAGCTTAAGTTTGTCATTTAAATTTTTTTTTCTGTTACTTCTCTACTTTTTTCTTTCTCTGTTTTCTTTTCGCTGTATTCCTATTGGCCTTTAAAACATTTCAATAATAAAATTTTGATTTCTCCATAGTGTTTTTAAATGTCTCTCATTGTACAGATTTTTTAGTGGTTACTCTAGGATTCACATTATATTTGTGTAACTTATTAGTCTCCTAGGGCTGTCATTTTTCCAGTTCAAGTGAGGTATAGAAACTTTACCTCCCTTTACATCTCTTCAACTTTCCCTCTTTACAATATAATTTCCGTACTTACTTTCTACATATACGTTTAGAATCATATCTGAAAGTATTTTTTGCTTCTACTGTCAATCATAGCCTAGGAAATGAAAGATTGGGGTCGGCCCAGTGGCACAAGCGGTTAAGTGTGCACGCTCCGCTGCGGCGGCCCGGGGTTCGCTGGTTCGGATCCCGGGTGCGCACCAACGCACCGTTTGTTAGGCCATACTGTGGCAGCGTCCCATATAAAGTGGAGGAGGGTCAGCATGGATGTTAGCTTAGGGCCAGTCTTCCTCAGCAAAAAGAGGAGGATTGGCAGATGTTAGCTCAGGGCCGATCTTCCTCACACACACACACACACAAAAGAAAATGAAAGATTTACTCATACATTTGCTTATACTGTTCTTTTTTTCCTTCCTCATGCTCCAAGGTTTCTTCTTTTATTATTTACTTTTTGTTCAGAGAACTTCCTTTTAGCCATTCATTTAGCATAGTTCTGGTAGTAACAAATAATCTTAGTTTTCCTTCATCTGATAATTTTTTGATTTCTCTTTAATTCCTCAAGTGTATTTTTTCTGGATATAGGATTCTAGTTTGACGGTTCTCTTTTTATCTTCAGCACTCAAAATATATTGTGCTACTTCCTTGTTACCTTCATGATTTCTAAAGAGAAATACACTATCATTCAAATTGATTGTCTTCTATAGATAAGGACTTGTTTATCTCTTGCTCTTTTCAAGATTTTTCTCTGTCTTTACTTTTTAAAAGTTTGATCATAGATGATGTGTCTTGGTGTGGAGTTATTTATGTTTAACCTGTTTGGAGTTCGCTCAGTTTCTTGAATCTATAGGTTTATGTCTTTTGCCAAATTTGGAAAGTTTGCAACTATTATTTTTTCAAATGCTTTTTCAAGGCTATCTTTTTTTTCTCTCTTTCCAGGACTCTGATGACACATGAATGTTAGATATTTTGTTATAGTCCCACAGGTCCCTGAAGTTCTGTTTTGTTTTTGGTTTTAGAATCTTTTTGTGTGTATACCTGTGCATGTGTGCATGTGCACACATGTATGCTTATTATCTCTGTGCTGTTTAGATTGGGCATTTTCTATTTTTTGATCTTCTAGGTCATTGATTCTTTACTCTGTACTCTCCACTCTGCTATTGAGCCCATATATTGAGTTTTTTATTTCATTATTGTATTTTTCAGTTCTAATTTTCCCAGTTGGGTTTTCTTTATATCTGCTATTTCTTTGCTTAGATTTTCTATTTCTTTGAAAAGACTTCCTATGTTTTATTGTTTCAAGTGTGCTTGTAATCATTTATTTTATTATTTTTATAATGGCTCTTTTAAAATCTTTGATAATTCTAATACCTCTCTCATTTCAGTGTTTGGATCTATAGGTCATCTTTTTTCATTTAGTTTAAGGTCTTCCAGTTTCTTGATATGATGAGGGATTTTCAATTAAATCATGGATATTTTAGCTATTATGCTATGAGATTCTAGAAATTATTTAAACTTTATGTTTTGGGTGGCTCACTCTGACACAATTCCAGCAGGGGAATGGGAATGGGAAAGCACTGCCTCATTACTGCCTGGTGGGGACAGACGTTCAGCTTCCTCACTTGGCCTCTCTTCATTACTGCCTGGCAGGGCTGGGTACTCTAGCTCCCCATGTGATCCTCACTATCACCCAGGAGGAAGGGAGACTCATTAAAACAACATGATACTGTTAATACAATAGTGAATTCCAGTCTTGGGGCATACTAGGTTTCCTCTATCGTCCAAATGCTCAAAAGTTTCACAGAAATGCTGAAAAGATAAAATACAAGGAACAGGTAAGACAAAAGTCCCAATAAGAGTAGATGGACTCTGGAACAGGTCCCAATTATAGGAGTAATATATGATGATGGGAAAAATGCCACAATGGCCATCTACGGTCTTAATTTTTAATCCTGATTCTGTTACTACCAAGTTTTGTAACTTTGGGACAGTCACTCAACTTCTCTGGCTCTGATTTCTTACAATAAGAGGAAAACCTTGTGCCAGTTGGGCCATAATTTATTTTCCTGTCTTAATATGCTATGATTAGTTGTTTAAAATGAGAATTAGAGAGGATGGTATATCAAAAATTCTACACACATATCAAATCAAATTTATAAATATGATCATTATTATAACTGGAGGAAATGAAAGCTTGAGATGAAAATGATATAATGAAACTTTGAGGAAACATGTCGTCTTTGAGCTCATGAAAGTGTTGCCAACTTATAGTTGGAGAGATATCTTGACTCTTGTTTTTCAAAGCCCAGACTTCCATCTACCCACAGCAGAATCATTTGATGAACTTGCTAACTGTAGATTTCCTGAGCTACAGTCCCAATCAATATGAAATTATTTTTTGAAGTGGGAACCAGAGAGTTGTATTGAAAAATTCCCTCCTTATGAATAGTATGCACAGTAATGGTTGTGAGCCACTGCTATAGACTTCAAGAAATTACTTTCAACCTTCAAGAAAAAAGAAACCTAATATGCTATATCCAAAGAGAATAATGGGTCAAGGGATTGAAATTCTGGAAATCAATTACAAACAGTTACGATCGGAGAGAAATAGAATCTATACTTTTAACACAATATAACTACTTTAACACAATAACACTATAACACTATAACACAATATATACACAAGGACTCTAGTAAGCTTTTGTTTTAAATAATCATGCAACAAATTTGGAGGGGGATGAAATAAAGAAAGATAAAACACATAACACAAAACTATAAGAAGGCTAATATTTATAATGAACTCTGATTATTAATATTTCAAAGGACCCCAAGAAAATTTATTTCTATATGTAAGGCAAGAAAGAAGGACAACTGAATTTACTGCTTGGCGTAAGTGGTAAAAGGTTATTATATCTTACACATAGAAGATATTCAATAAATATCAACTTTAATCTTTTCAATCACATAGAGAAAAACATTTGCAAACAATCATGGTTAAGAAGTACTTGGAACATTAAATATAATGCATTCATTCAATAGGATAAATTTCAAAAACAACTTGAACTTCACATAAAATGCCTTATTATGCACATAAAATTGTCTTATATGGCTAAGAATATTTTTCTGGTGAGATGTTCCATAATGTTCATCAAATTCTCAAAAGATATTGTAATGTCAAGTAGCTTAGCACATTAGTTTGCCTTTCTAGAGTAGTTTAAAAGTAGTTTAAAAGATACAGATAACAACTTGCTCTGCTTTTTGTAAATTTTTCCCTGTGGTCTTTTCTGTAAGAAAAAATTCTTTGAGCATCTATTGTCCACCTGATGTAGGACTTACATGGAGAAATAAAGAGGTAGTTGTTCTCAAGAAGCTCACATAATAAAACCAGAGAAATACATTACGTGGTAGCGATAATAATATTAGTGCTCTGTTAATTTTGACAGCATAAAAAATGAGGAAATACAGTCAGGCACCGCTTAACAGGGGTACGTTCTGAGAAATGCATTGTTAGGTGATTTCATCACTGTGAGAACATCATAGAGTGTACTTACACAAACCCAGATGGTATAGCCTACTACACACAAAGGCTATATGATACTAATCTTATGGGACCACCAATGTATGTGTGGTCCATCGTTGACTGAAATGTCGTTACGTGGCCCATGACTGTAAATGAATTAAGTTCTTTTCTCTGTCTAAGCCAATAATGTTTTGAGGTTAGATGTTCTTCCTTCAATAAAGCCATCAATTGGCTGCAATGTGTGCTTGCAATTCACATCTTATGTTTTATAACAGGATCTCAGACTAGGATTATGATTAGCATTAGTTTATTATAATCAAGACTTGAGGTTTTCCTTAAGATTCCAGATGATTAAAGAACTGCTGCAGGATATAACTTTGGAATTGGCTAATTGTTCTTACTTGCTAAAAACTTTAGATTACATGCACAAGCTAACACATGCATGCACGCAGACATACACACACATATGACTCTATTACCTTTCATTATATTAAGTTTTCTGAATAAGGAAAATCAAGAACCAGATTTTCAAAGTATTAGAGATTTTTTTTAAGGAGCCATACAGATTTTATTTCCTGGAGTTTAAACTATTTATTTTCATCAGATCCATCACATTCCAGGGGGAGAAAAGAAAAAGCTCTGCTAACCGTTACTCTTAGCATTATTCACATATACTAAAATATATTTGAGATTAAAATTACAAATAAATGATTATAAGAGAAATAAATGCATAACATAAGCAGGCATGATGTTCTAAGAAAAGAAATTTGCATGCAAGCTTGTGCCTATGAACATGAGAATTTAGTTAGGGATGAAATCCTGAAGCATACTCTCATGACAGGATGGATCTATTAGTGTAGTTAAGTATTTGCAGACCTTAATCATTTCCAAATACTTTACTAATTCCGGAAACAAGACAATTCCTGGCTTGTAAAACAGAACAAACCACCCTAAAACATCTGGCATACTTACACACTTTTCGCTGTCAAATACATAGCACAAATGTTTATTTGACTCAGAATCTTTGCATATGAAAGTGAATATCCTCTTGTCAGTTTTATCATCTGCACAAAATGATATTCTATGAAGCTGGCAATTGTGTTGGACTTCCTGTGAACACAGATAGAAATAAACATAGCTGAAGAGATTTTTTTTCCATTTTCTGAAAGACCAGCTTGTGTTAATAACATACAACTTATGACTTTAAAAGTGAAACAATAATCTGTCAAACTTTGCTTTTACAATTACTTACACCCCAAACTTAAACAAATACCTAATGGAGATGGACCTCCTGACTCAGGATTAAAATAAGATAGTCATTTCAATAGTACTTAGAAAAACATGAGCAAAATACAAGAGGATCACAGGTTCATCGACTTTCTGAGTTACAAGGGATCTTAAGACACCATTACTTTAAACTCTACAATTTTGCTTAGGAGGACATTGAGGCCCAAAGAAATTAAGATACTTCCACAAAGTTACAGAATAAGCAGAAATTTTTTTAACCGGAACACTTTTCATTTTATCTTCTTGCTACTAACTACTATTACAGTTTAAAATAATTTCATCTGTGCACAATTTCATGTGAAACACACTACCATTTCATCCTTAGTTTTCTCATTAAATTGTATTTTACATGTCTTCATGGTAACTCATATAATCTTGAACCTTTTCGGTCTAAGAAGATCATTCTTCCTTGCTACTTCTGTAATGTTTTCCATTGGAGCAGTGAATGAGGAAGCTCTACACCTCCAGCATCCGAATTACCAAATCAACTCTGCTAATCAATAAAAAGATAAATACTGCAAATATATACATATATATATACACACATATACATGCATATATATATACATATATATATACACACGCATATATATACATATATATATATATACACACTGCAACTATAGCTTCTGTCACTACATCCTTCCAACCTAAGGGTTGATGTGTCAGCTTGCTGAGATTTGATCTCTCACTCTGATTCACGTTAGTGCTCATCAGACTGGAAATGAGTACATAAAATGAGATATACAAATAAAGTTTAAGAGAAGTTGTCTACGCACTGCTTTCTTTCCCTGCATACAAACCAAATGGTAAGTCATCAAAGGGTTGTTTGGCAAGTGTGAAAATTAAAATGAGGAAGTATATTGTATGATTGTGTGCAGAATCAGAATTTGCCACCCCAAAATGTGGGGTGTGCCACCCCTTTGTCTTGATTATTTTTAAACACAAAAGACTCAGACAGAAACTTTGATGTTCCCCACTAACTACCTAAAAAAATTTAAGATAGAAGACCTGTCCCAGGAAGGAGCTATCACTATAGATAATTTTAGGTGTGGTAAACGGGGAGGAACCTAGCAAGGCCCATATAATCAAAGTCCTCCCCATGTCCCATTGTTTTTGCAAGGTATGGCAAACATTTGTTTACCAAACATTTGCTTTTCCATCTCCATGTAAATGTCCTTCCTCCCCTTTGAACTCCTAAACCACTACCCCCAACATCCTCCTTTGTCTGTAGCTGAAGATGATATTTAAGGTGGTGACTTCAGCCATTTTGGCAAGTTACTCAGTTTTTCTAGGTTCTCCCATGTATACATGCTATTAAATTTGTTTGCTTTTCTCCTGTTATTCTGTCTCATGTCAATTTAATACTTAGATCAGCCAGAAGAACTTAGAGAGTAGAGGAATATTCTTCCTCCCCTACAGTTGAAATTTTTTTTGTCATTACTAGACAGGCTGATCCATCCAATTCAGCAGCAGAGAGAAACAATGCTAAAAAGAAGAGCTCAACTCACTAAGGCTTTTGATGAGGGCATCTTCCCTTTCTTGTGGTTCATGCTGAGATGGACAATGACCACATTTGTTTGAGACTATCCTTCTCCCATACTTTGTCTGATTGACCAGTCTCTTTCTCATTGACACCTTTTTTGTTTTATCATTAATAAATTTGTTAAGTAAACAGTTGTAGGGGTGCAGAATTTGCCACCCCAAAATACATCTCTTTAGCATGAGGATTATTTTAGGCTGATTTTTTTTAAGAAACTGCAGACACAGGAAAAGCTCTGAAAACTGAGTAGAAGTTACCTTTTATAAGAAACATTTACATTTATAAGAAAAATCTCCATTTGTAAGAGTGCCTCCCTCTCTGTACCAAAAGAGGAGGATTTCTAAATCTCTAGAAACTCTTAGAAATGGAGAAGGCAAGGACTTTTAAATCTGCATAGCAGTTTTATCCTTGTTTACTGTGCTTTTCCTGGTGACCTCTCATAACTGACTCCCCCACCCTCAACATCTTCTTTTGTCTTTAGCTGAGGATGGTATTTAAGGTGATGGCTTCTGTCACTTCGGAGAGTTACTCAGTTTTCCTGGGTCTTTCCCATGTATACAGGAGGTATACATATTATTAAATTTCTGTTTGTTTTTCTCCTGTCTCATGTCAATTTAATTCTTAGACCAACCATAAGAACCAATTCTTCTTTCCCCACACAGTCAATCAAACAATAGCCTACAGCCACACTGTAGCTCCCAAATACTGACAGCAGTGTTACACTAGTTTACTAATTGTATAATCATGTTAATGATACAGAAATAAATATTATTGCTATACAATATAGAAAAGTGCCTCATTTTTTTCCGTTTATAGGAAATATTACAAGTAACATGAAGACATACTATTTACACAGCTGATGGTAAAACCTATGTAGTCCCTCATTCACTCACCAACCAGCATGATCACAGAAAGCCTCTGGTTATGACAGTTGGGAATAATCTTAATTTTGTTTAGATTAGCAGATGTATCTTCCTACAGAAAACGACTAGGGAGCTGAAACTTGTAATTTTATCATTTTTTTGAATTTTTTGTTGTTGTGGTAGGTCTTCCTAAATTTTAAATGTAGTACTAACTTTTGGTGAGATAAGATAAAGAGACTTGGGAACAAAATAAAGCACAGGACACAATTATCCTTTAACAACGATGATATTTTATTAGAGTTGGGACAAAAATAAGTAAATCCCCAATTCACTTATAGCACCTCTTTCCAGCACTTCATAATCTTCATTAGGAGGACAAGTGAGAAAAGGAGAAAGGGAAAAAGACACAGAAAGAAAGATATTGGAGACAACTGAGATTGCTTTTCACTTTGATTTTCATCCATTCAAATGGGATTAAAAAATAGTCTATTTTCTATCAAGTTCATGTTAGATTAACAATAAATTTTTAAATCCTACCTCATACATGTAATTTTACAATGAATACACTTATTTTAGGAGCGTTTAATTGCTTTTTCCTAAATTACAACTTATACCCAAAATAAAATGAATGACAGATTTTTTTCTGGTTCACTCGTGTCTCCTCAAATAGTGGTTCCTAAATGCATATCTGTGAACAGGCTGTAGCAGAGTCATATAGGGAGGTCTGTTTATTTGTGCGTTTTCTTTTCTTTTTTATAATATAGATGCTAAGTCTTGTTCTGCAGATTCTGAATCTGAAAGTCCTGGGTGGGCTCCAGCAATCACCACTCTTAGGAGTCTCCTAGGGCACTGATACTCACCACTGATGCCTAGCAGAGCTGGTAAATCCCTTTTTTAGATTACCCGCATTTTTTTATGGATTTGAAAAATGGTATATTCTACATAACGGTAAAGAGTCAGATACTCTATGTTCACATGTAACATATATGTAAAGAGCCAGTTGCTCTACTATTCATGTGTAATATGATTGAATTTATAAAACATTTCAAAGATTTTAAAACTCCAAGATCACTCTTCAAGTTCAGTAATGATGAAAATGGAGATGCTACTTTTCCATTAAAAGCTTGAAAACTTACTTTTTAGGGGGAAGATTCAATTGGGCCTCTTGAAAATTACCTATTAAGTATAGGAAATTGAGACTTTGGTACATGGAAGAAAAACATTGGTGTTATTGATTTGGATAAAGCAAAATACAATGATCAAAAGTTAATTGGCGGGCCGGCCCAGTGGCTTAGCGGTTAAGTGCACGCACTCCTCTGCTGGCAGCCCGGGTTTGGATCCCAGGCACGCACCAATGCACTGCATCTCTGGCCATGCTGAGGCTACGTCCCACATACAGCAACTAGAAGGATGTGCAGCTATGACATACAACTATCTACTGGAGCTTTGGGGGAAGAAATAAATAAATAAATAAAATTATTAAAAAAAAGTTAATTGGCTACATGAGGCAGTGTGGGCAGTCGGTGGCAGTTCTGCATGTGTGTGAATGCCTGTAGGGCAGTGGTGGCACAGCAGGAGACCCACCTCCATGATAGTTGGTGGAACAGCAGCAGCGGCAGCAGCCTGACCCTACAACAGTGAGCAGATGGGATGGGAGCACCCAGCCCTCAGTGGCGGCACCCCCGACACCAACTCCACCAGCAGCAGGGGCTGCATACAAGTCCCTGGGTCCCCAGGCCCCCACCAGTGACAGAGACACCCATGAACCCAGCACACTTTGCTGCCATGCAGCCATCACCCCCAGACAACTGGGAAACAGCAGCACATGTAGTGCATGGGACAATAGCATCCAAGCCCATGGAGAACCAGTTGAAGAATATGAGACCCAGGCAACCAGAACCAAAGTAACTGAAGCCATACCCAAATAAGAAAAGGTGATTACTACTACAAATGCACCAGCAGAGAATCAATTCATCAAACACCATGAAGAACTACAGTAACACTGCAGAATGGAAGGAAAACGACAACTCTCCAAAAAGCAAACCGGAAGTCACAGAAAATTACAATCTAACTGACAGAGAACTCAAAATAGCTATCATAAAGAAACTCAAAGAAATACAAGAAAACTCATAAAAACAATTCAGTGAGCTCAGGAATAAAATTAATAAGGAGAAGAAGTACTTCATCAAAGAGACTGAAACTGTAAAAAAAACACAGAAATTCTAGATAGGAAGAACACAATTAATGAGACAAAAAATAATGCAGAAAGCATGAAAAATTGAGTAGACCTTATGGAGGAGAGAATTAGTGAGGTCGAAGATAGAAACATAGAAATGCTTCAGGTGGAGGGGGGGGAAACGAAGATTTTTTAAAAATGAAGAAATTCTTCAAGAAATATCCAAGTCAATTAGGATAAC